ATTACTTTGCTGAAATACTGGTAGAAGGTCCAGAACACAGGACTGCTTCCAAATAAACTCCTCAGTACCTCCAGAGCTCTGGCAGCTCTCAGTGGGAAGACCAAGGGGCAATACATGCTCAGATTTCTTTGGCCAGCTTTACAGCTTCAAGATCTTGAGGAGCCAAACATATCCCAAACAAAAGGAAGCAAACTTCTCTTTCTCCATTATTCCCTATTCAGCATTTTTCCCTTCTCCTTCCACCCTTTTCCCTCTTTCAAGTAATTTAATGCTGTGTCAGAGCCACAACCATTCCCTGGCTGTTCCCTTGTCACTCTGCAGCTGTCAAGCACATTAACTAAACTAATGAGACAATCATCGAGAAAATTAGCTTTTACATTTACTATCATGTTAGATCTATCACTGGTAGGTCCTAAAACACCACCAGCACTGGGGCAAAAGCACAGTGCAAAGCTCTGGACCCACAGGACAAGTTCTTGCTGACCAGCTCATTCAGCAGGATTCCCAGAATCTCCCTCCTTTATCCAAAAATGGCTTTGTTTTGCTGATGGAAATTAATCTCACACAAAATGCATAAACCACATCCTGCTGCCTGCCATGCCCTAGAAGTTCTTCTTGTAAAAGCTGTCATCCTGCCCATGGAGAAAGCACTCCCACTCAGCACATCCTCCCAGCCAGGGCAGAAAACTGCTGGGAAGGCCCTGTGGTGGAGGAGAGCTTATTGATGAGCTTTTGCACTAATTTAGCATTCATTAGCCTTTCAACTTGGAATCAGGGGACCTCAGATTATCACTGAGCACTGCCTCAGATAATTCCAGAGGTAAATTACTCACACTCATGACTAAATTCCTCCAAGAGGTCAGTCCAAACTGTGATAGTGGCTGATCCCATTTCACTGGTCTGGGAGCAGAGGGGACACTGCCACTGACTGATGTGTCTGTCAGTCCTTCTGAAACCATTTCATCATGTCAGCCCTATCAAGTCACCTCACGAGACCCATCAACAGAGCTGGCCCTCACTGGCCTTGAAGAAAAGCTTAAGTCAAGTAAAAATGACTCTCCAGGGGAAAATAAAGTTCTTCAATACCACTTTAATCAGCAGTGCGTTACTACTCTGAAAAATGAGAGCATTTGTAAACCCCCCATGCAAGAATGACTTGTGGGAGGAAGAGGTGACTAAGGAATTAAACTATCCAGTGGAGAGCAAATTGTGGTTTGTTGGCTCCACTGGGAACAAAAGGTCTGTGGCTGGCTGCCCGAGCTGCAAGAGGACATGACTTGCAGTCGCTATTTCCATGAAAGCTGTTATGTGATTCATTAGCTTTGCTGGCCCCTCTCTCCTCCCTCCCTTCCCCCCACACCATCATCAAACTCATCTGGTCTCTTGAGCTCTTGCTTGGCAGAAATGGTGCTCTGACATCCAACAGAGTTAAAATGAACGGCTCTCCCATGTTTGGGAGAAAAAGGAGGGAGACTAAAGAGAGCACCCAGGAAAGATCTGCCTACACACCCTGAAAACAAAGAACAGAAATGACAAGAGCATGTATTTCTACAAAAGCATTTATCTTGAAAGTCTCCTATGTTTTACACTGAAAAATCCCTTCCTCAAACTCAAATGAAGCCAGCCCTGGGCCAGGACAAAACAGACATAAGAAAACAGCTCAATACTGACTCAGTGCACGCACTGACACTTGATAGTCTCATCCAAGCCATGTAAGCATGTTTTACAAATAAACACAATCCCAAAAAAAGCCTAACCCTTGGATAACCCCACCCGTCACCTTGTTCCAACAAGAGAAGTTAACATTTCCCATTCAAGAGATTCTTTCAGGAAAGTTTTTGTGGGTATTGAGTCATTTTTTTCTACCTCTTCCCAAAGATATTCATCATCCATCACCTGCAGATGTTTAGAGGATAAACAACCCCCCCATCACCGTGTCAGCCAGTGTCAAAGAACATCAGTGCTCCTGTTCAGAAATAACAGGAGGCCTCCCTGTTTCCAAGGCAAACTGTGTTTGAAAGGCTTTCTCCCAATAAATACTGTGCACTGGATAATTCTGGATTCTTCCATACAGCTCCCAGGAAATGTTCCAGCTATTCCACAGGTGCTCTGGCCTCTGTTTGTATACACTGTTTCCTTGAGCTTGGGTAGTCAGTTTCAAAAGCAGAAACCTAATTCTGCTGACAAACTGCTGCAATATTCACTCGCCTTTCACATAATTTTCTGTACTATTTTATAGGAGTTTTTACTCTAAAACCTCCACTGGTTTTAAAAATATGAATATTCAGAGCACTGGGGAAACCAATGACTTGCAAGGAGCAGAGTTTTGGCAAAGAAGTGATGCAAACTTGGGTCACACACCACAAAGTTCTCACAAATGATTGTAAAAGCTGTTTAAAGTAAGCTTTAAATTAGAAGCTAGGAAAAGCCTATAGAATTTAATGCTATTACAAGCAATCCTCTCAAATCCTTGTTAGACACTCTCATAAAGATGGAGATTAATTTGATACTGGGCTGTTAGAGTCTTGTCTTCTGTTCAAAACATTCCCATCAGACACCAGCAGTGGATTCCTTTCCTGTCTTCTCCTCACCACAGTCCCTTGCTCAGTCAGTCCCAGTTCTTTGATTTTCCTGTATTCATGTGTTAACCTTCAACTCCTCAGCTTGGAGGCAATAATTTCCTTCCTGTTCCTGGACAGCACTGAGCAGCCCACCCAGAATTTACACTTAATAGGAAAACCTATTAAAGTACATAATACTCTTGTAAATGTGTGAAAATCAGTATTTTAGTTGAAATGATAACCAATATCATAACAGTATCAGATTTTTAAAGGCTTCAGTGCCCACTGACACCAAGAGGAGGAACAAAGATGCCCCCAGATGGTAAGTTTGGGGTGAAAGACTTAGAGATGAGCCATAAAATGTCCATAAAGTTTCCTAAGAAGGCAGACAAGGTAACCCTGAATGTCATGCTCAGGGAACAGTCAAATGGGTTGTCTGTCACTAAAGCTGGCTCATGAGCTAGATCAATAAAGAAACCCATTCCTGGGGTTTAGTCTGGTTATTCCAAACACAAGCTTACAAGTACCACAGTTGTTCAAGATGTTGGTGCTCCTGAATGAGAGCTGAATTAAGTTCACTCAAGCAGAAACAGAACTCAGAGATACCACGAGTATCACACTCTGATGTAAGAAGCAGTTTTTTGCATCCAGTTGTCAAAAACACAAACTCTGAGCTCCAAAGCCAGAGATCTGACACACAATAAGGACTATGTTGTCAGATTTTTTTCTTTTTGTCAACAGGAATGTTCCTGACTCTTTTTCATGGTTAAACATTGAGCTTTGAACACATAGTTCAATACAAAACACTGGGTTTCAATCCTACTCATACCTTATGAACAGTGAGGACTTTCAAACAAGACCTAGTACAGCCTACACTTAAAAACTGAGAATAGTTTAAAAACTGCTTAGGTGCAACACAAGTATAACTCTTTCCTCTTCAATAAAAAAATAAATCAAGAGAAAACAAAGGATGAAAGAGATTTTTCAAACCCACAAGGGCTCTGCACACTCATTTATCATCTGTGTTAACAGCAATAAGCTGTTCAAAATGGCCCTGCAAAATCAGAGTCCGTTTGCTGCAACTGATCAGAAGTCAGCCGTGTGTCTCCTCGGGCCATTATCCAGCTCTCCCTTAGTTTATTATCAGTACAACCCCTTCTAAATGACACTTTTAGCTCCAGCAAAACTTCACCGGCTGGCAGCGGCCAGCGGATTTCAGGGGCTGGGGATGTAGGCAGCCACATTCTCCAGCCTAAAGTTTAACTTTCCCTTAGGGCAGCATTTCTTCTGGTGACTGGATACTGGCAGCTTTTGTGTTCTTCATTAGCCCGGTGATTAACATAGTGCTAGAGAGTTCTCACTACACCTCGCTGCTGTTCCAGCACTCGCTGGCAGATCTGTTGTGAGCTCCCCGAGCAGCAATGCAGCCCTGGCTAACAATTCCAGAGATCAGGTACATTTGTATTTGCTCTTAGAACAATACCTACATATCGACCCGAAGTCATAGAAACCCCTGCTCAAGCAATAACAACTTTAATGGGATTTTGTGAATGAAATTCCCATGGCAACAGCAAGAAACAGAGTGCCAGGAAATACAACTGATTGTGGTTTTATGTGTGTTAGAGGGTTCTAAATTCGGAAAGAAGCTGAGAAATAGGCAGCAGAAAATAGTGGACCTACGGGTTTCCCCCCTCGCCCAGCATTTGAAAAACAAGCAAAATAAACCAGAAGGCAAGCGAAGCAGCTCTACGGCATCAGGAACAAATTAGCAGCAGCGCTGGTGTACGGTGCAGACATTTGGCACACGGGGAATGCGATCTACCTGATACCAGCTCTCAGCTTTCTATGAAATCTGCTCCTGATTAACATGCAGAGCACTACACTTCTGAAAGGACAATGGTGGGAGACCTTCCACAAAGGCATCATTTTAAATTCTAAGGCCTGGAAAATTTCAGGCCTCAGGCCACGAACAATGGTGAAGGCTAACACAGCCAAGCTGCAGATCCTGACAAGTTCTATGCACATCACTACATCGGCTTTGTAACTTTTTAGTTGCATCATACAGACCATGCCAAGAAAAAGAAAAAAAAAATCTGTCAGCGAACAGGGTCCCACCCTTGCAGACATTCTGCTCCAAAGGATTCCTTTCAGAAGAGCTCCCGTGAGGACGGTGCTGTGATCTCAGGTACGGAACGCCAATAAAGCTCATTTACAAGGCAAACAGCAGCAGTGTCCCCGGCAGGCTGGAAGCCACCAGCGTTGGCTGTGACAACAGCCCCGAGCCTCAGCCCCCGAGAACAAAACGCCATCCCCGCGGTGCCGCCGCCCCGCCGCCCGCACACACCTTGCTCGTGCTCCTCCGCCCTGCCCGGCTGGTTCCCCATCTCCTCCGGCCGCCCGGCTCCTCCCGAGCCCCCTCAGGCCGCCGGAGCCCCGCTCATGCCCGGTGCGGGCGCGGAGCCGCCTCTGGCCGTGCCCGGCTCGGGCAGCCCCGGCGGGGAGCGGCAGGCAGCGCGTCCCGAGCTGCTGCTGCTGGCGGCCGAGCCGCGCTGCGGCCCCCGCCGAGGCGGCTGCGGCGCCGCCTCCTCCCTCAGCCAGCCCCGCTCCCGGCCCGGCTGGGCGGCAGCGAGCGGGGCAGCGCCGGGGACACCCAGCGGCCGCCGCGGGAGCTGCAGCTCCGGCCGGGCCGCGGGCTCCGCGAGGGAGCGGTGCCCCCCCGGCACCGCCTCGATGCCCCCCCGGCACCGCCTCGATGCCCCCCCGGCACCGCCTCGATGCCCCCCCGGCACCGCCTGGAGCGGAGCCTCCCTGCCCTGGAACAGCCGTGGCGGACTGCGGGAAGAGCAGAGAGCCCGTTCCGGGCGGTACAGCACGGCGTTTCCAAGCTAAACGTGGCTGGGGGCGAAGGAGGGCAGAGGGAGCCGCAGCAGAGACGTGAGGAGCCAAATGTCTCCAAAGCAAAGGCAACGTTAATTTTTAGCCAGTTCCACCATGCTTAGCAGGGAGCAAACAGACCCTGCCCACAGATCTAGCTACACTGCTGAGCACAGCACTGACATGTCTGGGCAAGGGCAGCTCCAAACTGTCATAAAATGAGGGAACCCAATTTCAGAGATGCTCAGTGTCTCGTGAAAACAGAGATACCCAAGGGATGCTGAAATGGAGACCGGACTCCTCTGAAAACCTGACCGTGATTGTGAGCATGAGCCCTTTCTGACAAGTCCCATCCATCAGATCTGTTCTGATATCTTCTGGGGCTATTCCTGGGTCAGCTGAGCACCCCCAGCTGCTCTCAGCCTCCACTGGTGCTGAGAACAGCACAGCAGGCTCACATCCCTATTATATTAAACAATATACAGCATTCAATGGATACCATTGAAATCTATTCCTCTTTATTGAGATAAGGATGTGGTATTTTATTCCTAAAAGTCTATTACAGTGATTTCCAAATTTCCCCTTATGCCAGTAAAACAACAATCAAACCTGACAGCCACTAGCACATCTAGACCTGCAGCCACAAACTGGAGCAGATTTCACACCATATCTCTATCATCAATATTTTTGCCTGTGACTGGCACTGCAAGAGCAGCTGCATAGGACAGGCCTACCCAGAGGCTCACCAACAGCACATCTTTCCAAAAATCAAGATGCTCCACACTGATGGAGCCCTGATGTACATGGGAAACAAGGATACTGAATGACTCCAGTGATCAGTTTCCATTATGTGGATAATTAACAGAATCCTCTTGAGTCTTGGTTTCAACAAGAGGGTTAAAAACAAATTCAGAAATAATAAACTAGTGTGTCTCCTAGGCTCAAAACAGCCTGAAAATAAAACATGGAGAATTAATCTATCTAGTTGTGAATCCATCACTTCAGATAAAATATCTGGAGACCATTCAATATGATAGAAGCAGAATTTTGCTAATATTTCAGTACAATAGGATGAGTTCATTGTCAGTCTTCAGCTTTCCATTGTTCTTCCTCTGACACTTTATAGATGAAGTGAAAAGTTTTCATACAGCTGTCTATATCTGGATGACATTAAACAACTCCTGTCTACTTCTGTCTCATGACATGTCAAACACAAAACGCTTTGTTTAATGAATAAGCCATCAAAAAGGAATCAGTGACAGTACATTCTTTTTCTAAAAGTCATCTTATGATCTCTTAAGTCTTGTATCTGACTATGGTGGGTACTCAGCCTGCCCTTTCCAAGGTACAGATGCAAACTTCCTCCAACTGCTGTTGAAATGTATCTCCCACAGAGATTTTCTTCCACTATGGACTAAAGAGTGACTTCTGCTTTCCTTCAACAGGACTCACCTGAAGGGCTGCATGAGCTGTGAGAGCCTGTTGGGCTGATGATTCCTGAAGCTGAGCATTTATTACTTCATCACCTGCTTTCTATTTCTGTAATCACAAAAGGGAATAGTGTAACAAGGTCCCAGTGCAGCGTTGGTGCAAGCCTGGAGCAATTATAAAATGTAATCACTGACTCAGAGCACACACACCTGAAATCTGAGCACTGTAGGAGAGTCAGGACTGGAAGAACCAATCTGTTACTTTTGACAGTGGCACGAAATGTAAGTCAGAACATTCTAACACCATGATAGGGAGAATGAGGTCAGGCCAAAGACTTCTAGCCCAGTCCAAAATGAAAGGTAAAGCACAAATTTTTAAATACAGCTACAGCCTGAGCAGATGGTGTAGATAAGAGATTACTGCTTATGGAGCTTGCAGCTCAAGCTGAGGAAAAAGGAGTAACAGCAAGGATGAGATGGGGACCAGGTAACAAATCACAACAGATGCATGGCTTAATCTTTAGGCAAATGTTTGTTATCTGAACATTTGACATTACTTTCCCTTCCTCTTCAGTAATAATGGTATAAAAACAAAATGAATGCATTTCAACTCTACAAAGCAGATTAGCTGGTCTCTTCCTCAGCATGAAGCTTGACTCATCCCCTTGCTCTTTGTTGAACTGCCAATAAAACTTCACAAACACTCCTATCCTATATAGTGAGAATGGGAATTAATTATTGAAGGTGTGAGGTACATAATTCTTTCAACTCCCTAGTCAAATGACAGGATTTGCTTGCCAAGCATAACTTTCTTGGCATCCTATTCATAACACAGCAAATGAATGAATGGAATTTCTGTTCAAATTGTAATCCATGCTCATGAGAACGAGTGTGAAGATGCCACCAAATCTCAGATTTGCAGTGGCCAGGCAGCTGACAGTCTCTCCAGAAGGCTGAGGCCTAAAGAAGTTACAGATACTGATGCTGGACTAAACTGAATGGGCCCTAAGTGTGGACATCATGAACACCAGAGTTCACACTGTCACACTCCTCTTCCATTAATGCTGAAGATTTTATGAGCACCAAGTACATAGGTAGCAGGGAAAATAAATCTTCAGAATCTGTGCATCATTCCCAGTAGTGGGCCTCAAAGGATTAGGAATATAACATCTAGAGCTGAATCCCAGATGAACAAAAGCTTTTTTTAACCATGCTAGAAACAATTTTTTTGTAATGAAGATACTTGGTGAGGTCACAGTTCATGTCACAGAAGCACAGCCTTCCAGGAACACATCTGAGATGGAGCTGTCAATTCCTCCCCTCTTGTTCTACAGTATTAAAATCTAATGTAAGCCAAAAGCTGCAGAAAAAAAAAAAAACAGTGGAAAAATATACTACAAGGAATGCCAAGCCCTCTCCTGATCTGCATACTTGTCAGACCAGGCCAGCTTCACGTTCCTTTCCTTCTCCCTCCCATTCTTTAAGTGCAAACACAATGGCCCTGTGCCAAGGCATTCTGGCTGCAATAGATTTAGGCCCAGAGAATTTGTGTTAAGGATCATTTCTTTTCAAACCAGCTGAAGGAAAGCTGATAATTAACCCAGGGCAGGTAGTCAGAGCAGGGTTGTGTTGACTTTGCTGAACAACTTCAGTAAAGAAGCCTGAAAAGAAATGAAAAGAAGCTGGGAGATCCTAGATTTGTGCTATTCCTGGAGCATCCAGGCATGCTCCCCTCTCTGTTTAGGTGTCCTGAGGAGAGGAAGGCTTTTGGGATCACCACAGTTCCCTTACAGCTGTAATGAATCCTCCCTGTAGATGTTGCCCTGAGCCAATTAACTGTCAACAATTTAATGGGTAAAGTCATTGCAGCCTTCAAGACCCAGCATTTCAGTATCCCTACCACACACTGAACCCTCTGAACTGGCTCAGCTCCCAGAGGGGCTCACGTGTGCCAACAAAGTCATTCTCAGGGGAACAGCCAGAGAAAAGGGTCTCTTTCACAGGTGGTTTTAACAAGAGGCTGAATGCAGAATCTCAGAATGTGTTAACAGAGATTCAGCACAGGAAATGTAAATTCTGCAGTAGATTAGGACAGCAAGAAAGCTTGAAAAAGGTACATTCTGCAGACAGTGTTGTCAGCAGAAGTTAATTCCTACTTGTTTAATAATGCAAGATGACTGCAGCCAGCCTGTGAATGCCTCTCAAAAAGCCTGTTATCCATAACAGGATCAGGTATCAGAAATCCTACCAGACAGCCTCTAAATGCATTGGTCTCACTACACTGCCAGTTATCAAAGAGGAAAAAGATGCCTGGAGAACAGTCATGTGAAGCAGCCCCCATTCCCAGCCATTCCAGGATGCACAACTGCCCATGGCCTACAGAGGGAAAGAGCAAAGCTTCAAAGAACGTGAAAAACAACACAGCAATAAATATAATACAAGAATATTTTCAGCAAAGGCATCAGCAATCAACAACTGTTATTTGCAGGCTGTGCCAAGAAAAAAAATCCTTGTAAGAAGCAGTAAGAGAAACTTGACAAGTAGCAGCCATAACCTAAATCTGGAATGCCAAATTTGATCTACTTCAAATCTTGAGCTTTCCCTTCAGAGGACAGTGGGTGAAATCTTCTAAACTGGTGCTGAAACTCAGTCTGACTACTTGACACCTGGGGAAATCACACACAGAGGAAACATTTTGCTAAGGAATGCCAGGGAGGTTCAGGTTCACGGTTGTAGCAATATGTTAAACATCCTTGCAGATATTTATAGATACGTGTAGATGTCAATATGCATATCCAGCTGCATGTAGAGCTCTGGATGTAAATGCAGACACATTTCCACTGCTTTGCACGCTAAATTCCTGCAGCACTTCTTGCCAATTGGAATGACAGCCTGACAAAGCAATATCTTGAGTCCTCCTCTCCTTTTTATACCACTTTTGGAGCTAGAATCTCTTTGTAGGAAAGAATAATTATGCAAGAGCTGTGTCTTGTACCTGGGAGGGGGAGTAAAATGCAAGTGGCTTTCCAGATGAGGTTTTGAAGCATATTTAGAGCTCCTGGGAAAGCCCAGATGAGCTCAGCCCCTCGGTTGCAGTGGAGCCTGGTGGAACAGAACATACCGATCTCATTAGTGTCCCTCACACTTGGCACCATCGTTCACAAGGAAAATGAGACAGTAACGAGCCTGAATGCAAAGTGCAGCAACCTCTCCCAAACCTATAGCAGTGCTTTGATGTGGCAGATCACAAAAAGCAGCCGCTGTCAAAAGCTGATGTATGGCAGAGTAAAAGGACCCCAAGGTCAGAGAGCTGTCCTTCAATAGAAATCACTTTCCTTTTTCCTGTCCTAATTGGGGTGCATTAGCATCTTATGAACTGCTATATTGTCAGTTAGGTTTTTTTTTTTTTTTCACAAGGATTTTTTTCTTTTTTAAAGAAAGCTTTTATTTAAAAGATACTTCCTTGAATTTTCTGACCATGGAGGGAAAGCTTCTGGTCTGGATTAGCTTCGCATTAACCTAAATTTTTACCCCACATCACAGAGTGGCAAACAGCAAGC